GTGTGGAAGGCATGGTCATGGCTAGACAAATACATGCAACCTCCTTAGAAGGAGAATCTAGCCTGTGAAGTGAGGGGATTGTCAGAGAAGATTTCTTTCTTTCTTTTTTTTTTTTTTTTTTTTTTTTTTTTTGCTTTTTGGGTCACACCTGGCAAAGCACAGGGGTTACTCCTGGCTCTGCACTCAGGAGTTACTCCTGGTGGTACTCAGAGGACCATATGGGATACTGGGAATCAAACCCAGGTCGGCTGCGTGCAAGGCAAACGCCCTACCCGTTGTGCTATCGCTCCAGCCCCAATAAGATTTCTTTTTAGTGAAGGTGACATACATGAGCTTTTGAAGGCTGCCTAGGAGGTTTCTCGGTAGACATGAGAAAGATGCAAAAAGTAGATTTAAAAATCCATAAAAAAGTGTAAAAAGCGCCTGGTATTGGGGTAATGCTGATAGTTGTGCATTCTCCCCCAATTTATAGAAAATGAAGTTTATTTTGGAGATGGCAAAGGGTTTGTCTAAGAGGAGAGAATCAGAAAAGCAAGAAATGTGGTTAAGTAGACAGGCAGTATCTTGTCTCTCTTGCCTCCGAGATGTTTAGATATTATCTGGGAAAGATTGGAGGATTTTAAGAAATTGCGGGTTATCTCCTTCTGATTGCATAAATATCAAGTGTTCATTGTAGAAAAGTTGGCAGATACAGAAAAGTATAAGGAAGAAAATAACATTACCTCCACCCAGAGTTAATTCAATCACACGGATGTGTTGTTGTCTCTCTGAGGAGTTTCGGGCAGGAGAGGGAGGTGATCAGATGTGAGTTTTAGAAAGAGCTCCTGCAGCTGGTGAATATCATGGGGCTGGAAAGATACTGGAAACGACCATCAGCCAGGAGCCGGCTTGCCCATAAGTGGGGGATTCTCAGGATATTGAGAGGTGGAATTTCCCGGCATGGGCAGGGCAGGGGGTAGCAGGTCAGAGGGGGACATGACTACCAGGGGGTGAGGAATCCATCCAGAATCTAGGGGTGAGGAACCTGGTCATGTGGGTTCTCATTCTTGTTTTGTTGCTTCCAACCTGTGATTGGTCCCTAAACACTCCATCCTAAACAAATGGGATCCTGGTTGTGTTCCTGTTTTCCTTGTGCTTGGTCAAGAAAATCCCTGAGTCTCAAGCAAGACAAAGTCCTGAGATGTGAACATCTGGGATTCTGGATACCCTTGAGCTCTCTCTCCAATCATCACCCCAGAAGTCCAGGGGAGACCTCTCATGCCCACTTAATAATGGAGGACATTTGGTCCTGTTAATCCTTGAAGTTCTCTTCAATATCCCATATACCGTCAAGAGCTCATTTGTTTCACATACTCTTTGATGCCCTGGGAGGGAGGATCCAGGATCTTGGGCGGGCACAGTACTGCCAAGTTCTATGCCCTCATGGAGCTCACAGGGCACCAGGAGTGAATCATAAACAAACAGACACAACAAAGTCGAGTGTGTGTTGACTTATATTCAAATGTTCAGGAAGGGACCAGAGAAGTAAGATTGGACCACTCAGAGAGAAGAGCACTTGTAAAGTTCTGCGGGGTAGGACTGGAGGGTTGAATCAGGGATACTGGGGATATTGAAAGAGCATAAAGGCCAGTATGTGTGTGTGTGTGTGTGTGTGTGTGGTTGGGGGGGGTTCCAAACTCTTACCCACCCCTATGAATCCATCTTGGATCACCCCTTCTCCCTCGCCATCCTGGCCTTATTTGTTTATTTTTAGGGAAGCCCGGCAAGCTACCCATGATGTATTCGATATGCCAAACACAATAACAACAAAGTCTCCAATGGAGACGTTACTGGGCCCGCTCGAGCAAATCGATGAACAATGGGAGGACAGTGACAGTGACAGGGAAGCAAGATAGTTCTTACTGAATGAAAGTTACTTAGAAAGATGTGAGGGAAGTAAGAACAGATGACTAGGAAAAAAAAACTATGGTATATATACAAAATGGAATACTATGGGGCCAGAAGAAAATAAAAAGTCATGTAATTTGTGCTCTATGGTTGGATCTGGAGAGCATCCTGTTGAGTGAAGTTAGGCAATGAGAGGGACAGACACAGAATGGTCACAGTCATGGTCCTCCTGTTGTTCATCGATTTGCTTGAGCGGGCCCAGTAACATTGTGAGACTTGTTACTGTGTTTGGCATATCGAATACGTCACGGGTAGCTTGCCAGGCTTTGCTGTGCAGGCAAGATACTCTTGGTAGCTTGCCGGGCTCTCTGAGAGGGGCAGAGGAATTGAACTCGAGTCAACCATGTTGGCTGTGTGCAAGGCAAATGCCCTACCTGCTGTGCTATCGCTCCAGCCCAGACACAGAATGATCTCTCTCATATGTGGGCTACATGGGAACTTCCTAGGGAAATGTCAAATGCCAACGGCAATAAAAATGATGAGCAAGAGAATTGGTCCTTAGTAAGAAGCTTGCCACTGGAGTGGGGTGGGGCTATGGGAAGGGGGAGTCTTAGTTAGGGAAAGGAACATTAGGACAATGGGGAACGGGGAAAGTGCCTGTCATTGGGGCGGGATGGGGGGTGTGGACACTGGTGAAGAGATTGGCATTGGAACATTATAAACCTGAAATGCAATAATGAATATCTGTGTAACTTTGTAATTTATGGTTATTTAATTTAAAAAATAAAGACATTGAGGGGCGAGGAAGAGAAAATAAATGTTCAAGAGAGAACAGAGAACACAGGCTTCTCCAGAGTGGAAAAAGCCCGGCAAGCAAAGAGACATCGAGACAAATAGAGACAAGCAAAGCCAGATATGCGTTCAAGGGAGAACATGGGCTTGGAAGAGCAAATCTGATGGACTCGTCTAGCTCCACCCCACTCTCCCTCCCCTATGGACTCAGCCAATCCTAGCACTTTTGATTCTGATGGACACCCCTTTCTGGACCAGGTGCTCCCTGAAGGAAGGAACTTGCTTCAGAACTCCATCCACCAGCACTGTTCAGGTCTAAGGCAGACACGGACACGCCTATGGGATGAATGAGTGAGGGTTGAAGAGGAATGAAGGAGTGAATGAAGGAGGAATGAAGAGGGTTGAATAAAGAGGTCAGTGAGTGAGTGGAAGGAGGAATTAATGGCAACTCCAAATGAACCACTCCTTGTTTAATTGTTGCCTTCTCAAATTCCCTTAACACAACCTGACTCTGCCAACCGGCCCCCTCTGCCCCATTTCCTTACCAAATCTTGTCTCCCATAGCAGTTCTTTCCTTTTCATATATATTCCCTGTAATAACTTAGTGTGGATGCCTCTGACCACCCCCAGACAGATTGTCTGCTATCTCATGTCAGTTCTTTCTTTCTTTCTTTCTTTCTTTCTTTCCTTTTTTCTTTTTCTTTTTTATCTTCCTCTCCTTTCTTTTCTTTTCTTCTTCTTCGTCTTCTTTTTTTTTTTTGCGTGATTATCCCTTCAACAGCAGAGACAGAGCCAAGAATAGTGCCTGGTACATAGGAACCCAGACAGGAATGCACGAATGAGTGAAGAAGTTATTGTTCTCAGACAAGCCCAGAACTTTACCAGCCAAATGAGAAGCTGTAGAGGTACAGTAGAGAGATGGTTCTGTGGGCAAGGAGCTTGCCTTGCACAAAGTTCACTGGGTTCGATCTCCAGCATTACAAAGGGTCTTCAAGAGCTAGGCCAGGAGTGATCCCTGAGCACAGAGGCAGGAGTAAGCTCTGAGCACTGATGGGTATGGCCCCATCCCCCCACCCCCTTCTCCCAAAGCTGCAGAAGTAAATGCTGGGTTGTGACCTTTCATCCCCCACGCCAGTGCAAATCCACCAAATAAGCCCCTTGGCCGGCCGGCCTTCTTCCTGCTAGGCACCGAGGTACTGGGCATTCCTGTTCTGTGGATGCAGCAACTCGGGGTAGGGAAGGTGGGGAGGGGCGGGGGGGGGGGGGACCAGCTGATGCTCTGGTCCTTTCCTGTCCTCTTCTAAGTCCCGGTGACACAGACCCTAGCTCGGGGTGTCCCACTCCTTCCCCCTGGTCGGAGGTCAGAGCCGGAGTGCCCCGAGGTGTGCTGCTGGAAAGGGATCGAGGGCCGAGTTCCCTGTGTCTCCCGGAGCGCAGCGCCCGCCGCCCCCCGAGCCCGCGCCTCGTCCCAGCCACTGCCCATCCCGGCCGCGCTGTCAGTCTCCATTAGCGCTAACAGGCTCCAGACGGAGCGGGCCCGGCGCGGGGTTAATGCAATCGGCGCGTTACCTGGGGCGCAGGCTACATTACCAGCCTGGCCCCCGCCCGACGCGGCCAGAAGCAGCCAGCCCGCCCTCGCCGGCAGCCCCCCGGCAGTCTCCAGCGCTCCGCGGGCCGCGCCCGAGCGCCACGCGGTGGAGTCCAGCCCCAGTCCGCGCCCCACCGCTGCCGAGGCCGGGCGGGTCCGGGACAGGAGGGACGCACGGCCGGACAAGTGAGTGCGCCCTGCGCACGGGGCCCGGCTTAGGTGTCCGGGGAGGCTCCGGAGGAGGCGCGCGGTACTGAATAGCGTCGGAGTTTGGCAGAGCCGAGAGGCTGAAGTGTCGGGGAGGCTCCTGGAGCCGCTGGAGGTGGCGCAGACCCAAGCCGAGGGGAGGCGGCTGCAAGCTGTCCCGGGAACCCTCAGCCTGGGCGTGTCCACACCCCGCCGTTCCTTCTGGGGCAGAGGGAGAGGGCGAAGGAGGGAAGCCCCGCGGGGTCTTTACCCGGACCCAGAGGGCGGGCAGGGGCGGTCTCCACCTCTGAGTTGCGCCCCAGTCCCCGGAAAACATCACTTCTCGTTGCAAATTTCCCTGACCGACGCGCGCCCGGTTCTGGGAACCCGGCGCGCACGGACCGCGGTGTCGTCTGCGCTCCCGGGAGGTCTCGAAGGCGCGCGCAAGGGCCCGAATGTCCCGCTGACCACCCGTGTCGCCTTTTCTCAGCACAGAGCCTCGGCGCGCTCACAGTCCCGCTGACGTCCCGCGTGGCCAGCCGCACCCATGCTGCTGGCACGGATGAACCCGCAGGTGCAGCCCGAGAACGGCGGGGCGGCCCCGGACTCCGAGCAGCCCGTGCGGGCGCGCAAGGCAGCGGCGGCGGAGTTGCTGGTGGTGAAAGAGCGCAACGGCGTCCAGTGCCTCCTGGCGTCCCGCGGCGACGACGCGCAGCCCCGGGAGACCTGGAGCAAGAAGATAGACTTCCTACTGTCGGTGGTCGGCTTCTCCGTGGACCTGGCCAATGTCTGGCGCTTCCCTTACCTCTGCTACAAGAATGGTGGAGGTGAGCCCAGGGTCGGGCTGGGTGGAGGTTGGACTTGGGAAGTCACCTGTGCTCCACGGTGGCCAGGAGAGGAGCTGCGGTCCTGCAGGCATCAGCAGAAGCTGCTGGCCGGTCAATCTGGAGCTCAGGAGAGGACTGTGGGGGTCGCGCGGAGTTGGGGTTGGCGTCCCAATGGAAGGGGGAAATAGAGGCATCACCGCAAGGGCCTAGAGGAACGTTTAGGGGATCCCGGGCACGTTTAGGGGATGACAGGCTGGGGGAGTATCCACAGTTATGATAGAGGAAGGGAGTTGAAGATTTGAAGGGAACCAGAAATGGCCTTGGCATGAGCCAATCAGGTACACAGTGACCCCCAATTCAGCTCTCCTATAGGACTGGGATAGGGGCCCTCCACCCCAAAAAGCAGAGCAATTGGGTTCCCTGCGGTTGGAGGAACCGGAAGCGGAGGAAAGAGAGAATCCGGGGTGGCAGGCAGCGTAGAAGATTGGGTGTGAGGACCCTCGCTCCTAACCAAGGGCTTTTACTTCCAGAGTTCCCAAAACATCCCAGTCTTTTCCCTGTGCTGGAATAAGTTTGGGGTACCCTGCATTTCCCCAGCGGGAGAATGACTTGGAGGCAGAAGTTGGCAAGTGAGAGGAGGGGGCCATTCTGGAAACTTTTCTCTTTCCATGGGGACCCTCCTGTCTAGGGCACTGACTCAGGAGGGGGAGAGTGAGGTGAGGAGAGAGGTGGGAGCTGGTGCCCTAGGAACCTGCTGTTGCTTCCTCACCTTGGTCTGTCCCTGGGCTGGACACTTGTTTGGGGTGTCACACAGGAAGGGATAACAGAGAGGTGGGACTGTCTCACCTGCTCCTCCAGAGAACCTCTGGTCAGGACCTGTGGCTGCAGGGAACTTGGGATGCAGATTATGTGTGTTTTCAGCTGACAGAAGGCTCAGGAAGGAAAACCACACTGAGGGACGCTGTGCACACCCTCAGGGACCCCTAAAACTGTGTCACTACGCAGCAGGAGAGTTGATACATAACCCGCAGTGTTTGATTATATACTTGGTTCTGTGCAATGTAGGATCCATGCTAGGTTCGACCGCAGTGACCTCTGAGGATGAGCTACCACAGCCCCTGTTCGGGTGTGTGGTCCCCTCCAGTGGCCATCGCAAAACACCCCATTGTCATGAGGTGGTGATGAAATGAAAAGCACCCCAAACAGCCTGTCAGACTTGTCCACTAGGTGAATATTTAGTGCTGAAAGGCTCCCCAGACCCTGGCCATCAACATAGCACCTGCTGTATGCAGGTGCTATCCTGGGACCCTGGCCACATACACAGAACACCTAGTGTATACACCCAGTGTATCCTGGGACCCTGGACACATACACGGAGTACCTGCTGTATGCAGGTGCTATAGAAGTTACCTAGAGCAAGGTGGAACTGGTTTGTCCCCAGATCCCACCTTCCAGTGGCTGACTGGAACGTGGCCCATCCGAGTTGTTGGGTCTCTTTTGAGTGTCTCCCGAGCAAGAGAGGGCATGTGGAGGGCAGAGACTGTAGACCTTGGACCTCTGTATTTCTAATGCCCAAGAAATGACCCTGATCCCAAAGAGATTCCACACACTTCTATGGGTTGAAAAAAAGGGGTGAAAATGTTCAAATTCTCAAAAACCCAAGGTTACCTCCAGGAGGAGCAGAGAGCCCTCTGTAGTCTCCACAGAAGAGGGGAGCCTCAGAGGTGTGGAGGGGTCAGTGCCTTGTGGTTAAGGGTCTGGGCTCGGGCTCCCTGTCCTCCAGCTTCCAGAGTGTGACATTGGACAATGCGATCAGTCTCCACTTTGTCGCCTGTTAAGGGGACATGGCGGGGCTCACCCGAGGGGTCGATGAGGGTGGACGCTGATGGTGTCTGGCCCTGGGGAACAGAGGCTGCCACTATTTCTCCTGCCAGTAGGGTGAGGTGTGGTGTCTTGGGGCCAATGCTCCCCCTCAAGACCTCAGAGGGGCTGTTCAGGGAAGGTAGAGAGGAGGGGATGTGGTAAGAACCGAGGAGCAGCTGGTGGGGAGCATTTGGGACTGTCTCTGAGGCAGGAGTGCGGGCTGGCTGGGGGAGATAAGGTGAAGAGGAAGTTGCCACTGGGTGTGATGCCCTAGAATGCCAGGCACAGGGTGGGATGCGATACCAGTAAATTTCCCCTTTGGGTGAGCATGTCTGCAGCTAGTGCCATGGGGCAGGGCAACCCCCTTTCACACCTCCATGTCTAAGGTGCCCCCCCATGCTAACTCACAGCCACCCTTGGGAACATGCTTGCACCTGCTGGGACATAGCTTGCCGAGACCAGGCCTTCCCTTATCCTGAGGGTGGCCCCAGACATGGGAAAGTTGGCTGGCAGGGGTTGACCTGGCATAGTGAGAGGCACCAAAAGTCCATTTCATCCCAGCAAGACACAGCTTGCCTCTGAGCCCCACTAAGATGGAAGGCAGGGAGGAGACTGAGATGACCCCCAGACCTATCCTATTCCTGGGCAGTGCCTGGCTCAGCACGGCTCCTGGCCTGCACGCACCCCCCCCCCCCCCGCCCATTTAACAGCCCAAGTGATGCCAGGATGAACATGGTGAGGGTTGGATGAGACAAAAAGCACCCCAAAGAGCCTGTCAAACATGTCCTCTAAATGAAAAATTGGGGCTGAGAGGCACTCTGGGCTGTGGTCTCCCCAGACCCTGGCCATCAACATAGCACCTGCTGTATGCAGTTGCTATCCTGGGACCCTGGCCACATACAAGGAGGACCTACTGTGTTCAGGTGCTATGCTGGGACCCTGGCTACATTACACGAAGCACCTGTTCTATGTAGATGCTATCCTGGGACCCTGGACAAATACAGAGTGCCTGCTGTAAGCAGGTGCCATCCTGGAACCCTCAATACTTACATAGAGCACCTACTTTATGCAGGTGCTACCCTGGGACCCTGACCATATACACAGAGCACTTGCTATATGCAGGTGCTATCCTGGAACCCTGGATACTAGGGTTCCTGCATACCTACTGTATGCAAGTGCAATCATGGGACCCTGGCCACATACACAGAGCGCCTGCTGTATACAGGTGTTATCCTGGGACCCTGACTACATAAACAGAGCACCTACTGTATGCAGATGCTATCCTGGGACCCTGTACAAATACACGGACACCTGCTGTATGGAGGTACTATAGCAGTTACCTAGGGCAAGGTGGAGCTGGCTTGTCCCAAAATCCCACCTTCCAGTGGCTGGCTGGAACATGGCCCATCTGAGTTGTTGGGTCTCTTTTGAGTGTCTCCCGAGCAGGAGAGGGCACGTGGAGGACGGAGACGGTGGGCTTTGGACCTCTGTATTTCTAATGCCCGAGAAATGACCCTGATCCCAAAGGGATTCCACACGCTTCTATGGGTTGAAGGAGTGAAAAGACCCAAGTCCTAAAAGATGCTGCAGCCCAACACCATCCTCCTGGGCAGCTCAAATGCTGGCCCCATCTTCAGGGGGTTATGAGACAATTAAGGTGCCGAAGTTGAGTCCCAGGCTCAGGCTCACAGGCTCTGAATGAATCACTGAATTTGGAGCAGCCTGTCTGAACATCTTCATGAGGGCCAGCTGCTGGGGTACGTGGGGATAAGAGGCTTCCTGGGGAGGTAAGTTACTCTGGGAAATTCCAGCGCCTGGTACAAATCTTTTTTGGAAGAGACAGTGCCAGGCAGTGGGACCTCTTTCAGGTTCTAGATTTTTTTTTCTGTACCTGTGGTTATGAGTTGGGGCTATGCCAGTCTCAGGGGGCAGAATGGGTAGATGTCTCTCTGCCAACAGAGAGGTTGCTTGCAGTCCCCTCAGTTTCTGCTCGAGGCTGTCTGGATGACAGCCCTGAGCTTCCAGAGCAACATCATGGCCTCGGGGCTAAGACAGACCCACAGTGGAGTCCCAGAGTTACGTTTCCCGGACTTGCAGCCACAGGCAGTTTGGGTCCCCTATCTAGGCCTCCATTTCCTTGTGTGAAAGAGGTGAGCAATGCAGTTTCTGTGAGGTGACATGACATGAGACATTTCACAGGCAAAGACCCAAAGCAGTGACTGTTCCTGAGTTGGAGTTCAAGAAACGTTGCTGCTCCGATTCGCTGTGGAGTGTCTGATGGCAGGCCAGGCTGAAGCCAACGGGGTCCTGACCTAGGAGAGCATGGAAAGGATTCTAAGAGGAACCTGATGACAGGGAATTAAGCCAAAGTTGTAATACATTGGGATAAAAGAAATGACTCCCAATAGTGACTCCCATGCAAGTTGCCACTGTGAAAAAAAGCCTTGAGCCTTTCCACACCACTGTTTGCAGTAGTGGTCTTCCTTGGGTATCTGGATTTGGGGTCTCAGGGCAGGAGGTAAGATGCAGCCCTAAGAAATCCTATGTTGGGAGCCCTGAGTCAAGAGTCTGTGGATTCCTCCTGCCCCTATCCTGAGAATTGAGCCTTGTCCTGATGTCATTTCCTTACCTGCAAAGTGGAAATTCACGTTCCTGCATGACATCCCCATGCAGGAGATAGGGAATTCTGATACAGGGCTCACACTGGGTGGTGCTTGGGGAACCCTGTGGTGCTGGGGATAGAAGTGGGCCACCTGCATGCTAAGCACACAGCCCTGGGGCGCTCTCTCTGGCCCAAGACAGAACCTGTTGGGGTTCCCGTTCATCTTCATGGAAGTTCAGAGTCTCATGATCAAAATGTCTGTGGCAGGTGTTGGCAAACTTGGTGTCTGACCACAGGGGCACATGTCCCTGCTGTCTGACACTGTGGAGTTCAGATGCACATGACCCAGGCTGCTGGGTGGGCCTTGGACTGAGGTGTTTGCTGTCTCTGGCTGGAACAGAGTGAGGCTTTGCTGGGGGCCTTTATTGTGACTTGGTCCCTTGCTTGGTTGAGCAGAAAAGATCTGGGGTCTATTACCAACAAGATAGGATTTCTGAGGGCTGCATCTTACATCATGGCCTGAGACTCCAAACCC